CAGAACTTTAAGTTTACTTAAAAGGTAGAGGATTTCGGAACAGGGTCACGTCACCTTCCTAATCCTTTCTTGTCTGAGGTTAACGACCTGCCTTGAAGATATATGCTCATTCTTAGACGGCAACATTTCCGCAAATTGCATTTCTCCGTGACATATTCGACATTCGAACAGATTGCACTCTGCCTCAGAGATTGAATAAGACGAATGAACCTGTTAAGGCCCTGTGATATCGTTTTGAGACGAGTGTTATGTCCTACACGGTTGAATGAAGGCAGGAGACAAACAAAACTTAACCTGAATATTCTTTTACATTTATTCGTGTTTTATTTCCAAATTTTGCACTAAGACAGTGGTCTGTGGTTATGATTCTAAATTTTATTCGGCGAAATCCGTCGGTTATTAACACAGGCTACCTAGTGGTTCGCGAATTAATGTCAAAATAAACGCTCCGTTCTTCAGAATCGTATTATGATAACTACCAGTGAAAGTTAATATAAATCAGATTGATAAAGAGAAAAAGAAATTGCATTGTACTGTAACTCATAATAAGAAAGTATTTTAATTGTAAGTGAGTTAAACAAAAATTAAATTAACATTATAGTTTTATTGATGCCGGTAGCTGAAAATTAAAACAGTCGATTAAAATGAGCCAGACGAGTTGAAATTAAACTAAATCAGAACTGTTACGAAAATGTCCAAATTGCATGGGCTTTTCGAATAAAATTATAATCAATAAAAATTAAAGAATAAAGTGTACACCATGAAAAATACAAATAAGAAAAGGAAGCAGATTAGCGTATCACATAAAGGCTTAATTTATGAAGAACATGAAGTAGGCTTATAATACAGTGCAAGTTTTCCCCGATTTAAAATAATTGATTGCGTTCTGGGGAAAAGCATAAACCGAAAAATTTGCTGTAAAGTGTTTCTTAAGAGAGCACAACAAATACTTTCAGTGGTAGGCATAATACTCTTTATTAGCGTAACATTACTGCAATAAATTCGAAAACCAATTCGTAAACGTTTCGATCGTCGCATTAACTCGTCAAAATATATTGAAACTTCTCTCAGGAAAAACGAAGGCTGCACAGAGAAGCTCGTCGTGGTTGAGATAGACAAAAAAATAATCTTTTTTGAATATATTACACAGACTCCGAGGGTATCGGGTATAGTATCTTCATCTGCACAGGTATCCGGATTGAGTCACAGCGAAACAAACGGACTGAAACGAAACTCATATATGCGGTAACGTAGCGCGCAAATGTATAGTTGTCACAGCAACGATTATCAACCGGGGATCAGTAAGTTATGCGTAAGGGGTCCCCAAATGGATTAGAATCTACTATTTATTTTTTGTGAGTATTTGTGCAAGTTCCAGGCTCCATTATATTACATTTTTACTTTGACATTCCTATAAAATACATGATAACTACACGCTATGGGTCAGTCCATATTTTATTTAATCAAAATGTATGAGAATTTGGGGTTTATGGCACCAAACGGGTTGAGAAATACTGATTCAGAAAATCGATAACGCGCTTGTTAGCGACCACAGTTCCACTGAGACAGTCTCACCGCAACGTAACAATGAAAACAAAAGACGATACCTCAAAATGCACGCAGACGCTCCGTCAGATGAGACTCTCCAATAAAAACACGTCTGCATCGTCATTTTCTCTTTGTGTGTCAACGACGAAGTTCAAAGAAGATCTTAAATTAAAAAGGAAATAATATGTATTTTGAACTGCATGTGCCAGTAAAAGGAAACCTTGGCACAAGCGGGACCAGGTCAAATGTCTGTTGCCAGGGCAACAACGGAAAACGTCCCATTTTCATCACGACATTGTTTATTACAACAACGGGAAAAAAAATATTCATGCGTACCACTTTTAGCTATCGTCTGCTTGTATTATTTGATATTTTATAATGTTATGCGTAAAAAGATGATATACACGTAACTCAAAACGTTTGAAAGATAAAATATTGATATTTTACTTCAAGTAATTAATAACAGGAAAAGTATTGGCATTCATGTTTGTATTTATTTTGTATATTATCAATAACAGAACGGGCTATTTTATAATGGCGCTTTCATGACGAGATTCACAAATGTTAATTTTCGTGAAAAAAAATGGTATAGCACCAGAATTTTAATTTGTACATAAAATTTATCATGACGCACTACACATTACAAAACTAATACGAATATATTTATTCATAATATTTTTTTTGGGACATTTTAGCACAAATTTCTGCAAGTCTGAAATAATGAGATGGGAAGACTATTCTTGTCCGTCGATTTTCACGGTTAGCGTCCATTGTAAAACCTCAGCTTTCGGGTACGAACCGCACCGAATTTTGAAATTTGCTCAAATTTAAGAACTTCAAGGTTAACATGTAATATATTCAACATTAAACGTCGCTCATATCCAAAAGGGAAAGTTTTCGTGCTAAAATTATATGCAATATGTAATTTAAAGAACCTGAGGAAAACGACGATAAATCTCAGTCAGGACAGACAGTAACCTAGCAGAAATCTGAATCCGGTGTAAGTCTACATGTTAAACGTGAATCAATTCTGCGCTCTAAAGTGACTGTTGAAATGGCTTTTTCATGAACATTAATCTTCTTTCGAAGTTTATCTTCTGCACTGTAAGACATTACATACTAAAAGACGAATATCAACTCGCCTTGAGAACGTCATATCTCACTTATATATCTCCTGTGCTGAGGCATTATCGATATTTAATATATATAAAATTATATAGTACACATAATTCTGTATAAAAGAACATCTATAGGTACATATAAAAATGGTTAAAGTCTTTTGAATGTATCATTCTTGCCTCCCTTAAATGAAATTAAATCGAAATGGAATACTTTATTGGGAACTATAAAGATTCCATTGACACTTGGAATGAAATAATATTATGGTTGCTATAAAATCAGTGATAAAATTCTGAAACCAGCATATTAAACTATCTACAAAGAAACAAAAATGTAGGTAGACAAAAAAAAGGACGTTGTAAAGAGAAAGTTTTTCCCCAGTCGAAGAAAGTTTTGAGACTCCGGTATGAAATAATATATTCGAGTTTGATTTACATTCAGAATTCTTTACTCACAAACGGTAAGTATACGACAGAGAGATGAAAATTTCCGCGCAGGTCACAGGGCAATAGAAATCAAAGCTTTGCTGTCTATTTATTACCTTACAATTCTGTATAATCAGGGAATAAATTGCATCGCTTTTGAACAAAGTCTTCATTGTGCTCGGGCGTCAGGATACGATACACTTTGATCCTTTTTCAAGAATAATTCAAAATCATCTTGGATCAGGGTAAAGACGCAAATAAATTGTGCGTTGAATAAAGTATCATACTTTCTCTTTATCCTTAATAAAAACTGATAGAATTATTACCACTTTAAAGCCAGGTAACAACTGTATGTACCATCTACTTTAACAATCAATAATTCTGCGTTTTGTTCCGAGTTTAAATGTGTTTCATAAAAAATTTAAAATAATACAGTGATTAATTAGCGAAACAGGTTCCAAATGACATTTGAAATTAAAAAGCGTTGTATTTTCTTTCATGTAGTGACTGAATATGTAAATATTCATCTTTTTATAAAATTTCTATGGTAGTTGAGGAGTGGAACTTAAATATAAATATTCAAAATCCATGACAATCTGAACGTGTATTTCTGCGCATAAATTCCAGCGACAATTGTAAAAACACACACCCAATAATTTGCGAGGACTCATATCAAGTGACCTAAAAATTATACGTGTAACTGATAGCCAAAGGTATGTTTCATTCAGTAGTTGTTAAATCGTGGTATGAAACGTATGAAATTGGATATGTCAGCTTATTACCAAGGACAGGATTTGCATGCGTGCAAACATAATCGGTACCTACCGTCCATTGTTCTAGCGTGTTTTTATTACGGTTCGCTGAGAAGAATTTGTGAACGCTATGCGAATTGCACACCAAACTGAACTGGAACCAATCCATGGAAATTTTTAGTTGACTGAATTCACAGGCAATAAAAAAATGTAACTCTCTCTCTCTCTCTATATATATATAGGTTGCTGTACCAAAATTAATTTAACTCTTCCAACTAGGTGTGTGTTCCCATATTCTAACTACACGATCGGAAAAAGCCAATTTAAGCCATTTTCTGCTGAAAAAATACACCAAAATGTAAGAGAACTTGTGACTGTGTTCTTTTTACGGAAATAATAATTATGGAATAGAAGGATTTCATTCTCGTGGATCATAACAAATTTCTGGCTCTGTCGTAAATAATTACTGAACTATGCGGTTGTTCGAATCAGAACCGATTAATTAAGCAGACAACCAATGTGCTGCCGCAGGAATCGTGTGGCGAGAATGGGAACCAAATTTTCGATCATTTTATTGGCTAACACACAATATGACATACTTTTCGCTTTGACGAGTAAGACCGATATTGAAATCGACTTCCTAGTATAGTGATTCACAAAGAATGTTTCGCGTGACTGTAAAAACGGAAAGTAAGGTTGTGATTATGTTAGTAGGTACGTAAAATAAGACCTAATTTTTTATTAATAGACAACCTGGACAAAAGACATTCTACACCACATACTGCCAAATGGTGGTAAAAGGAAGTGTACTTTCATAACAATAAGGGGCAAATATCTGATCATATTAGAGACTAGATAAATATCTGGCTTTAATCACATATATTAGCCATAAATGTGCAATTATATTTAGCGATCTTTAATTTAAAATGCGACACATTTCGGCCTTCAGCTGCCACTAATTATCAATTAATTATAAATTGATCATTACAAAATATATTTAATTCTAATTTTCTACGATAATATTAGAATAACTGTACATTTAATAGTACAATAGCGTCTCCAGCTTGACACTGGGTTGTATTCGAGTTTAGGGCAGTTCTATACAAGTAAATACTTTAGTTACAGCGCAGAGAGTTTGCAAGATACGGAAACTCACCGACAATACTGAGGTTAACGAAATAGCTTCGTACTGGCTGTGTGCTGATTTGACACTCGTAAATCCCGTCATCTCTCTTCTGTGCCCACTTGATCTGCAGAGTCCACTCATTATCGTCTGGATGGTGATTCGTTTGGAAGCGTTGGTCGCTTGTGTAAGTGTAACCTCCAACTGTCAAGATGTGGATGTCCCGATGGCGAATCCACGACACCTGAAATCATGACGATTGGTCTGGAAATCTACACCCAAGGCAGTCATTACAATTACAGTGTCCGAAGAGGGAAGGTATTTTATCAGATATACCTGTCAATATACGACGTATATGTTCACTGAAGGTGTTTCACGACGGGTTGCTAAAAGGAATATTGTTGACTTAAAAACTGGAGTAAGTAAAAGGAAGGTGTAAAAAATTACATAATGAGGAACTTCATAATTTTCACTCTTCACGAAATAGGATGATAAAAGCAAAAGCATCGGTTGAACAGAGTGTGAAGCACTCGTGACAAAGATGATAAATGCCCACAAAGTTTCGGTCGTAATAGCTAAACACTGGAGGCCACTTATAACGCTTAGTTTTAAGTAGAAGAATAATATTAAAAAGGATATGAGGAAAATGGAGTTAGAAGTGTAGATTGCATCCTTGGCTCAGTACATGGGCAAGAAATGAGCTATTTTTAACAAGGTAATAAAAATTTCATGTTCTATAAAAGACGCGGAATTTCTTGCCTATCTGTGGATTATAATCCTCTCAGAACATTCAGGAATACTGCAGGGTTTTACTTGGAATATTTATAATTCCACGGATAAACAAAATATTCATTGTTTTTATGGAACATTTTGTTTATTTCATTACATCTACGGGTGTCTAACAAACGTTTTGTTACGTTCAGATTTCGCAGTAAACATTCTGAATACGTATGTGTCTTACTTCAGTAATGTGAATTCATGTCTCGCGAAATCATCGTGATAAATCATCGACATATAAAATAAGGATCAATTCCAAAGACGGAAATGAAATGTTAGAGATAACGAAATCAATATCGATATTTAAAATAGAAGTTACGTTAGCCATCAAAGCGAGTAGAATGTTTCTCTAGTGTCTAATTTGGAGCCTCCTTTTTATAAGAAACGTTGAAGGATAGTTACAGCTACCTCGTAGTTATAAACCGTTTGTTTTTGGTAAGATTTTAAACACAGTTGCCAAAGGAAATAAATATTCTTTAAAATAAATACCAATGTTGTTAGAAACATGAATTCCCAGGAGAAGATTAAAGGTAGGCAATAAGGCTGAATAGGACTCGTGGGTGTTTATTGGTGAAGTCAACTGCCCCTTGCTTTCGCCGGTTTCACTGTAATTGTCATGTCAGTTAAATTCCACAGGTTAAATAAATCGCTTCAATATATTATTATGAAATATCTACGTGTAAAATGTACGCTAAACTTCTGTTAATATATCAGAATGTTTCATGTGAATGATTTCTTATGAAAAACGACTAACTAATCTTTCAGAACTCAGCCCTTCACTACATAGGAAAGGAACGTGTTGTAAATTGTTTAAATTGATTTGAACAGTCGTGTTAAACCAAGATGAAGCGAGCATTAATCTATAAAATAAATTTAGTGACAGGGCACATATGACGTCAAATAATCTATTGTAGTATAAAGCATTCCTGAACACTGATAATCACTCAAATGGTTAAAAAATTATTTTTTATACAATCTCAAAGTTCATCACTGTATTCACACGAGACGTGGACCACTTAAATCCAACCTACAATCTGACAACCTATTACTGTAAGATTAATTTTAATATTATCATGCCATCTCAAACTGGGTAGGAAAAACTAGATACAAGACACGACTTAAGTCTCTTGCATTTTGATTTCAGGAAACAATCTGAACCCGAAAATGTTTGCAGATTTTTCTCACTGTGATAGTCAACCGACTATCACAGACGCGTACTAACAAACAATGCAGCCAATCGGAACTTGATGCGAATGAAGTTGGAAAGAACAGAATTATCTGATACATTACTGTATAATTTGTCTAATTAGGATACAATTCACACATGAAAAAATACGAATGACTACAATGAGTGTATAAAAGTATAACATTTCGAGCTGTTTGTGAAACTCATTAAAAGGGCATGGAACTATTATAATTAAAAACGTATTTCTTGGAATAACTTGTGATTCCTACTTGCCTTTATATGCTTCAATCTATACGGTAAGGCAAACAATACAATTAAATTCATAATTACAGGATTTAATGCTCCATTTCCATGCATAATTTCCGGTAATGGTTTACAGACTCACATAACGCTGAATTTGCCATATTTTGCAGCAAAATTTGCACCAAACTGACAGGTAGTGTCAATAAATAAAAAATAAAGTTTTTGTATAGGCTTAATATATATATATATATATATATATATATATATGTGTGTGTGTGTGTGTGTGTGTTTATCTCCGTACGTAGCATATAATTCATGTACATTATTAGTTACCGTCATAAAACCAAAATTTAAAATACGAAGGTGGAATGACATCTTGTCATGATGTTCACTTCAACGTTGAAGATAAATGCAGTATGTTCCTCCGGAACGTTTGTGTTTTATCTACAAATACACACCGTCTCAGAACCCAGAGGACCAACGCTAAGACATGAATTTATCTGAATATTGTCAGGACGCATTTTTGTGAAAATTTATTGCACAGCTAAAGTTAACGATTGACGACAGTTCGAAACTTTGAGGTTATGTAAGGTAAATTTAACGTTGTCAGAATCTATACAAGTGGATATGGCGCTCATAAATGTACCACTAATGTCAAAATTATTAATCTGTACTTTCTATTAAAATTACTGTATATATTAGAGCATTTGAAGGAAATTGGGTGTTATAAATTGCTTCCAGAATTTATATCTGTTACATATGCAAAACGTACATACACTGTAAATTAAACTTTGAGATATTTTAGTAGCATGTCCGGTTTAGTTTTCTTATCGGAATACGGAAAACACTGACAGTGGTTAAATCCCATGGTGAGTGCAACATCCAATTTTCTGGTATTTTGTTTTTGTGGCAATGTACCTTGAAAATTCAATTTTGTTCAGGGCTTTGTGACAAAGGGGATAAGGTACGCGTTGCAGAGAGTGGCCCTGAATCAGGTTACCCAGAATTGAAAGAAGGAAGGTTCAATGAATCATTTGGACAATTTCCGATCAGGCAAAAACACTACGAATGCAACGGACCGTTCATGTCATACCGATCCGTAACGTGACTGACTGTCCATTTTCACGTTTCGATTTCAGTTTTAAAACTGAGTAGCAACGTTTCTTAACATTCTACATGAATCGGTATTGCATAAAACATCTCAGTGTTCCACCACACAACATGTAACATCAGCCTATTATATCAGGCCCTTCTCGTTAGCGGGTTTATTTATCGACGGAAAAAATTACTGTGGTAATATTTGTGCATCGTGGTGTAGGCCCCTCGCTCTATCACGGCCTGTTCTTGCGTAGGCGCAGTTATACACAAAAGTCCGCATCTGTCGCCTGTTTCAGTACTTAGACTGTAATTTTCGTAGTTTCTAGAACTGATTATTAGTTTTGTGTTCCATGACCCTGATAACTTTCAACTGGGAACGCCGAAGACATCCCAATAAACACTAACAGTAATGTTGTTATTATATTAATTATTAATTGTACATAAAATGTAACATATTAAGTGTGTCTCTGGTATCCCTAACCTCACTTTTACCATAATATCTTAACTACGCCAAACACAGCTTCACTTTTCGCGTTTTCAAGAACGTAACCCCTGCCAACGGCGAGGGTGTGCTACAAATCAGATCTTAATAAAATTTTTGTAAAGTGTAAAGATAATAAATAAGAAGAGAGACAAAACAGTAAGATAAAAATACCTATTAAAAGCACAGCTGAAAACAAAATAAATATATTTTTACCTGTACGTATTATATATTAAGATTTCTGTCTTCTGGGTTGTTGCACCGTGTAGTCTGGTAGACGTTAACCAACGTGTGACCTCTGAAACGTCCGTAAACATCGACCAGACTACACAGCGCAACAACCCAGAAGACAGAAATCTTCATACTCACCACTGTGAAAACCTCAAATCTTACATATTATATATTACTTTGTGAAAGTTTTCAAGCCTGTAATTGTCGAAGATGTCACCCTGTGGAAATTCTCATATATGTGTCCTAAATTTATTCTACTACTTTTACGGGCGTTAAGTTCGGTGTCAAAAGCAAAGTATAGAAACGGCTCCAATACACCTCTTGCAATATCAAGGAGTAGAAATCGAACCGAATTCTGTGTTTCGGTTCGGTGACCAAGGCAGTTGATTGGATGCTACCGCTGATCTGTATTCAGTTCGAACGCGGGGTTGGCCTATGCCAGAAAAACCTGGCATCTGCGACTCTTATCCAGGAAGGAATGCGAAACCAAGGCGACGCCTGCTTGCCTGCAGGCCGATAGACTCGTCGCAGTTCGAAGAATGGCTTCACCAAACAGGCTACTTCGTCATGCGGAGGTTATGAAGTAGCACATAAGCTGCAGGCCGGGCAGAGGCCAACACGAAAACGTGGTTGGAAGGTCAATCTCAAGATTACTAGAATATAAACTTGATGAGATCACGTTTTACAGACTCGACGAAAGATGACGTAATCTGAAAGTTGGGTGGTCTGAGGATTTATATTTATTTCACAAGAGGGGAAAAAAAGAATTCGCTTTCCAAAAGACCGTCGAAACCAATTTTTCTTCCAAATATAAAAAATCTGATTTCTTCATTTCTAAACTGCGGCCTGACAACGGGAAATGTTAATAATAATAGCCCGTAACTTATTGAGTACGTACTATAAAGCACATCTTTCATGAGAGACAGCGCTTATGAAGGCGATGACGTGGCAATGAACGCAACAGCGCTGGTAAATCAAAACATTTCTATGGACAAGTAGTTTTCAATTAACATTATTTGAAGGTTCTCACAGCGGCGAGTATGATCACCCTGACGATGGAGGCAGCAAGGACCTCTGAAACGTCGGTAAACCACACTAAAAGGGACATCAACCCAGAAGGCAACAATATTCATAATTACCTAAAATTGTAGTTAGAATTGGCTGACTAGTAACATAATTTGCCCATAAAATCACTATGAAAATTTCAAGTACTCCAACAAATAATATC